GCACTGGAGCACCACCATCCTATATAGAATTTCAAATGAAAAACAAGGTTTTATATACTCGTACAAAGAAGAACAATATAAAAAGCTATACATTTTTAAAATATTCGGCCTTATCGTGAATTCCATGTGAACAAATATTTAAATTATAAAGCAAAACAAAAACAATTTTTTACAATTTATTTTTGTTTTGCATGTTAAATTATGGGAACGATTTATTCACATGGAATTGGCAATAAGGCTGATTAAAAAGTGAACAAAAGCAATAAAAGTGTGTTAAAGCATAGTGAAGAAAGTAATGAAATACAATACACCAAAGGAAATCCCAAAGCAAATCTCTTAACCAATTTTATTATTATTATATGTAGATTTTTCTTAGACCTTCGACGGCCAAGGAGTAGCAAAAACTGTATTAAAACATAAAAATCATACCGTAGACTGGCCGATTGGTGACTACATTTTCGGCATTTTTGCAAACATTCAATCCATCGGCAATGACAATTTAACAACAGAGACGAACGAACACACGTAAAAGAAAAATAATTAAATTAAAATTAAATGGAAACTTTAACGAATAAACACAATGCGCGCAAGCTTAAGCGCATATAAAACGGAACGCATCGCAAATTAACTGTTGTTTATCGAACTATTATGTTCATATGCATGCACATACTGTGCATAATTGTGTAACACTCACCTGACCATAGGCGTACATGTTGTTATGCGTCTGCGAAGGATTTACTTTGGAGAGTAAGAAACGAGCTTGCGATCCTCCATGCTCGGTATCAATGTAACGCGGCATGGGAAAACGTGTCTGTAAAATCTCCTGAGCATCATCCACTGGTGCTTGCAGCAGCTGCTTGAAGTTCTCATATTCCGCCATGTCTTGATACTTGAGGGCTCGCCATTGTGCGATTGTTTCACCGTGATAAATAAGAATCTGGAAGAATGTGTCCATCAGCAGAATACGGTCGGGCTGTATGGACGATGTGTCAAGCAACACTGGTTCTGGAGGACCATTAAAGGAGTAACTGTATAGAATTGGCTGTATCATAATTAGCGACTGGGTGAGGTCCTCGCGCATAAGCATGTGCCGATAGAATGTGGTCTCGTCCGGCGAGTTGTTGAAGACTTGCAAGAATTGCGAACGGCGCAGATGGTACATAAACTGCGGGAAAAGGCTGAAGTTTTGCGCCAAGCGGAAACTGTTCGGATCATCCTTGCTATATTCACCAAATTTCTGGCACTGGTTTTGCAAAAAAAAAGCTCTTAAATTAGACATTCTACAAAATATATCGTTACCTTAATATAGAAAGGCCCTATCTAAAAATGTTGTTTCTTTACAGAGTAATGAAAAAACTCCTTACAATATCAAGTTTTTTTTTGTTGCGAATTTCTATTAAATGCTTTTTTTATTTAAGAATGTAAATAATTTCATGTTGTAGTAGATACTTTTAAAATCCTGGAGATGCTTAGCGAGTTATCGGCAGACTTTTGTGCAATACTCGATTTGAGAGAAAAAAAAAAATGAGTTGAGGCCTTTCTATATTAAGGTAACGATATGGAAATTAAGCTATGTGCTTAGTGTGTACCAAACGAATAAGCTGTCGGTCCACCCAACGCAATATATCTGGCCCTTCATCTGTTTCAGCGCGGTAGACAACCATGCGGGCCATAATAACTGCTGCCGCTTCTTGGTCAAAACCTGCACTTATGTACGGTAAATTAGTTGTCGCGTCTGCCCAACTAAATTTATGTAGAATTCGTATACACATTTATATTACAATATGAATATGTAAATAAAAGTAAATGTTTATTACTTTCTTGCCAATGTCGTCACACGTATACGACGTTGTCCATTTGCGTGCTGATACTGAGTTATGAACTGAATACATCCCCGTCCTCCCTGTGGCATAGGGGCTGCATGCTGGTTAACCACTTCGAAAAAGAATGCCGTCGTGGAACTTGGATTCAGTGTACACATCTTCCATTGCACCGTATTGCCCATGCCGATCTCCACATCCGACACCGACGAGCTCTTCACATTCAGCGACACACACGAGCCGATTCCGCCCGAGATTTTTAGCTCGCGCGAGCACTTCACTTCCAGTGTGCCATTGAATGCCATTTTCAAATCCCCGCGTGCATCTCGTGCAAACACTCGTTGGAATGTTTGTTTGAATAGTGACGAGTTGAACGAATCTCCTAATACCATATGACCGCCAGTAGAATTGCAGCATTGTTTCATCTCCATAAGACCGCATTGATCTAGAGCACATGAGTAAATATCGATGCAGTGGCCATTGGTAGCAGCTCTTAGAGCCAAGGCATCATAGTGCTTAATTGCCTTTTTCATAAAACGGGCATTATCCTTTTGAATGTCATGATGCGAACGAATTGGATGTTTTAGTTCATCGTCGACCACTTGGCCGGGACCCTGGGAGCAAGGTCCACCGACAAAGGTCAGGATGCGACCACCTGTATTGGGATAAGTGCATTCAAGAAGACCCACGGCAATCGCCAATGCAGCGCCAGTGGAACGCAAGTATCGCTTGCCCTGCGGTACTGGCCAAGGGTCGCGCTGCAATTCGCTTAATAAGTCGCCCAGAGCAATGTCACATTTGCTAATGGGCTGGAGGAACCGATTGGCTGCAGGTACAGCAGGCGCTGCAGTATTCGCGGCACCTGGTACTCGTTGTTGACCCGGCATTGGCTGACCCGGTTGGCCAGGTGCACTTGCAGGTCCACCACTTTGCCTACCTATACCCAACATATCTTGCACTTGCTTTGCAGTTAGATCCTTGGTGCCGCGAAAGACATAGCTCTTAGAGCAGCCTTCAGCACCCAATTCGTGCACTTGAATCATTTTGCCGAAAGTGATAAGCCCAACTAAGGCATTGGGAGGCAATAAACTTAACGACATTTGTAAAGAATCTTTTAGGGCATCTAATTCTTCTTCATCCATGCAAGTATCTACGAGAAATATGAAAACCGGCGGCATGCATGGAGCACGTGCAATCGTATATTCTATTGTGCTAAATCCAGGAATTAATTCAGCGGGTTGATGCTGCTCTGATATCGCTGCATATTGTGGAGGAAACTTTTTAGGAAAATAAATTAGTTAAATCAATAATTTTTACGGTTGAATTATGAGCTCACCGGATTACGTTGGAAACAAAAGTTGCACACCCATAACTTTGCACGATAATCTACCTGACAGAGGGGATTAAGTATTGCCCGACAGTTAGCGCGTGTACACAAAACCGGCTCGTATTGTATAGGTGGCAGATCCGGACGTTCTTTCAGTGGCTGGTAGAGACAAGCAAGTGGCACAACCAGGCGACCAGCGTCGATGCGACTTGAAGGCCAAACGTTCCAAGTAAGACGCACACCGTCGCGATCCTCATTCTGCTGAATGAACTCTTCGTAGGTCGTCATCACAGTTGAGGACGACTTATCCAGAAATTCTTTGTTCCTTTACACAAAAATCAAATTAGATTTCCTCCGACAATTTTTTTTTTAAGTCCACGTCACAATCATGTCCAATTTTTGACAAGTCGCGTCTGTCCACTGCCACTGTCAGTTTTGCTAGATAAATCCAGATAATCGTTGGCTTTGTTTCTTTTCTTTTTTAGCAGATAATTATTAGCAAGAAGAAGAATGGGAAAATTGACAGAACTAAGCTCACAATTTGACTATTGAAAATATTAGCGCGAATTTTGGTTTATTCATTTTGACAGCTGCTAGTTTCTGCTAGTAAAAATTTTACTAGCAGAAATTAGAAGAGATAGTTGTTAGTATCTGCTAGTTTTTTGGGTTAAGAAACGCTTTCAGCAGAAATTAGTGATAATTTGTGATAATTATCTGTTAAGAAACAAAGCTGTTATCTATGAAACTTATTAGGGGTCTTCATCAAAAGTGATAAACTCTTGATAAACTTGATAAATTTATCGTTTTGATAAATGAACTGTCAAACTTTGTATGGAAATCCTTTTAACCAAAGTTAACCAATTTATCAAACGACGGCTGAGATTTTCATTACGGAACTAATAGCTATATCATTTAAAGTACATTGATTTTTTTTTTAGAAAACTAGGTGGTGATATTAGCTTTGTTCCACACGCTTTCCGGGCTGCTCCAGTAATTAGAGCGTAAAAACAAGTTACTCTCTTACAAGTGTCAAAAATGTATCAACACGTGCCAAAAGTGCCCAGAGCGTGAGGAACGCAAAAAACCACATTTCGTGAATTTTTCCGGAATTAACATATCGGCTCTAAACAATGATTTGACTTGTATTTATCTTAAATAGCTAAAAAAATGACCAAATAACTTCATTTTCTGAAAATTCGGTGATATTTTCCACTTTTGTGTTTATAAAATTTGCTTTCGGTTTAAACAACAACAACAGCTATTATTTCAAATTGCCCTTTTCACATTTGTGCCGGGAAAAAAGTTTCACGTGCAAAATTACAGAGTTGGCAGCGTTGTTAGCCGAGTTATGCTCCCCAATAATTTGAAGTTCCCTCCAGATGCCGCCTCGAATTGTCAACATTTGACATTTCCACCAGAAGAGGACGGGCTTGCTTGTTTACAAAAATCTCGAACGAGTTCTCAAGAACGATTCACGATTCAGACGAATCACCAAAGAACGATTTAATTTACGATTTAAACGATTTAAAGAACGATTGTAATGTAAATATGTGCAAAAGGTGCTTGCTTGCTTTTTCGTTTAATTAATTAATTGGAAATGGGAATTACAGTTACAAGAAATGGGATATTATATGGGACCAAATAACGTTTGGGACCAAACGCAACAGGGTGAAGCCAGTGTTTATCACCCTATACTTCCGTTAGTGCATTCCTGTGAACTCCGGTAGTGCATTCCAGTGGAAGTTTTTTGATCTATCCCTGTTCTGACATTCATTCTTGTTTTTGTATTTTGTATTTTTTTTTTTTGACATTTGACGTTTTGTGTTTTCTAAGATGGCGACGAAAAAAACGCGTCTTTTGTGAATGTAATCACAACAAATTAAAATTAACGCGATTAAATGTGAAAAAAATTGCATGAAAAGTGTATAAAATAGTAATTAAACAAGTGCTAAACACTTTGTGTGTGAAATTGTGTGCAAAAATTAAGTGAAAATGGCCACAAATATGTATCGGGTTGGAGGTAAAAATTTTCCATTTTCTCTCCTGCGTTTTGTACCTTGTTCGTGTCTTTCGGCGCTGGCGCTTTTTACCGCCGCCGTCGCCGCAATTGCTGCTGCTGTTGCTGTCGTTACTGGCGCATTTGCTGGTACCGCTGCCACTGCCGCTGTTGCGCGGTGGTGCACTCGGTGCGCTTTTGGACTATGCTGATATCGCTGTCATCGTGGCAGTCGCTTTCGCTGTCACGTCGCAGTTTTGGTTTCGTCTGCGACGTCCAAAACTGCATTTTATGCATTTATGGCTTGCACTTATATTCTGTGTATAAGATTAAATAAGAAATGTGCAAGGAGGTGGCATACTAAAATCTGTAATGCTATGCTATGTTGAATTATCAGCTGGTATACCGAATCCGCTTAAGCTTAATACTTAATACAAGAAATTACACATGTACATCTACTACATATGTACTTCTCCATTTTTGTAGTATAAATTTGTCAATCAAATGTTTAAAGATCATCGATTAAGGTAAACTTGCATATCTAAAATAAGCTTTGGATAGCAGGTGGAAATTTGCGACTTGAATTAAACGCGTTATCGAAGTTTCTTTTTTTTAATTCCATTTAATCTTGCAATGGGCACTTTTAGTCAAATGATATTCAAATAATCAATGCGTTGTGTGGTCCAGTCACTGCCAATCTTATTGCCTTATGTATGTGCTGCAGCATAGATAAATAGAGAAAGTTCATGATATACTATGTATGAATGTATGTACATGCGTTTGTTCATGCATTCCTTCGTACATACATATGTACATATGTACATACGATATGTGCATATGTACGTACATTTCTTTACATATGAGTGTAGTAATGTATTTAATTGTAACGACATAAGCGAAATTCCAATATAAAACATTAATTAGTGTTATGTCCGTGTTTTCCTCTCAAACTAAACGTATTGTCTATTTGATAAGACCAACAAATTATTTTGTTATAAAACAGGTTTCCATTTCTAGGCTCAACAATGCATTCATGAAAAAGAGTAAAAGAATTGCTATCATTAGCCCAAAGTTTAACCCAAGTGGAACAAGTTTATACCGCTGGTTTAACTTTAGAAATTTATTTATTTTACCAAACATTTCCTATAGTTTTGGATTTTTATGCGACAGTCTTCCAAAACGATCAGGACCCAATTGGTGAGCTTGTTAGTTAACGGTGCGCGCTGCTCTTGCTGCCATTATGCCATGTGGCATATATACATACGCATAAGAGTATATTCTGTATGCATGCATGTGTGGTCGAGTACTTGTGATTGTAACCACTGCGGGAAGACTAATTTATATTTTCCACTTGTTTGTTGCTTAGTCTGCTTATGAAGCTTGCGTTCTTTTCATTTTTGTGTCTGATGTTTCTTCTTGTATAATTTTACAGTGCACAAATGTATGTACATTTTTGTGTATATGTGGCTAGCTTCTCTAGGCATCTTATAAAGAACGATTGAAGAAAATTTAGTGCACATGTGCATGCATAGTTATCCAAATAACGTTTGCTGCAATCGACCACATCAATAACTTGTTGTTGTGGTAGCAGCTTTCGCTCAGAACAGTTAATCCACATATCCAATAGAGAGCCTATGTAACGAAAGGTTAGGGCTTTAGATAGATGTGCTCCTCAGTATTGCACTTCAATCGCATCTTCATCTTTAGAAATCCTCTCTTTTGCGAAGTAATGTACAATAAAATTCAAATTAAACATACAAAAACGCCAGTTACAATATGGTTTATCAATATCATACTTGCCAATTTATACGTGTCCCCACACGAGAGTAACATAAATATTTCTTCAACAGCCGCAGCAAGTGCATTCTGATTCAAAGGACACACATGTGGTCTTATGTTATTGCCTAAAATTTGTTCGATTTATGCCATCAATTATATTTATTTTTCTTTTATATTTCAGACTATGTCTATGTAGAGACAAATCCAAATAGTCCGTTTTTAATACGACGCATAGAAGAGCTAAATAAAAACCAATCCGGCAATGTGGAGGCGAAAGTTATGTGCTTTTATAGAAGGCGCGATTTGCCAAATCCACTGGTGCAACTGGCCGATAAACATCAACGTAAGTTAATCAATTCTGTTAAATGTACATTCCTAACCTAATTATTGTCACATACTAAGTAGAGTACAGCATTCATAGAGAAAATTTTCCCTATCTTCCTTAAACACTACTTTTTACATTTTATATTTATTTTAAATAATACTAAACAAATGTTTGCTATTAAATATTATGCTATGAGCCCACAACTTGAACTTTCAATAATAGCACATGCTAATCTCGTTCTGCGAGGGTTTTTATCACATTATCATTTGCTATTATATTTAAAGCTGTTTAATTTTCTTACCGTCACGACAATATAAAAATTTCCTATAACACGAAACAATCCACGCAAAATTTGCACATTTTCAATACGGCTGATGAAAACACAAACATGCATTTAAATAGGGCTCTTTATTTATTTATTTATTTATTACGTATTTGAGTAATCAAATGGTAGGACGATCGAGCTATTTTATATGTATATATATTAGACCTCGTCAAAAAAAGACAAAAAAAAAAAACGCGCAATGCGACCCGCATAAGACTCAAATTTTAGTAATTGGTATAGTAATGATCCTCTATGAATCTCCCTTCTCTAGGAAAATTGTAAGAGGTCCTGCGTCAAGCATTTAGTTTTCCCAAAGGAATTACCGTAAGAAAATGAGTTCTTTCCTTTTGAGGTCAATATAATTTTCTAGGATCAATGAAAACGCTCGAATAAAGCTACAGAGGCATTTTATGCTTGCTAAGTGAAACATGCACAATGTCATCGAAGTTGGCATACTGGTTGTTGTTGTTGTAGCGGCTACAAAGCCCCGCTCGGGTCGTTTCATCCGTCAACGTTGTCGTCCATCGAACAACGTTTGATGGATTTCGCCGACCTAAACTGGGTTAGATCGTCGAAACAACAGCCCTTGGTCGGGTAAAACCCGAGTCATTCCGGTACGTAGAACCGGCTGTCGCGGGAATGTTGGCGTTAGAAGAGGCTTGTCGAAATGTCGAATCTAAGCAGATTGATCCCGTTGAGAAACTACTAATGCTATTAACGTTATCCTCTATTAAGCACTGTAGGGTAATAATTTCTGAACGAGATTTTTAAAGCGGTAATCAACTATAAATGAAGGATCCGAATTTTAGTACACTCTTAATATGATATCAGTCAGCCAAGCAGCATTAACAACTGGAAATCAGGTTAAAGGATGCCGAGACCGGTAGACAAGTGCACACAAGTATACTAAATCGCCTAAGCGATTTTGGCCGAGTTCAGCAAAGCACGCCAGTCGTTTCTCCTCTGTGCCAACTGACTCCAATTGGAAACGCCAAGTGAAGCCAAGTCCTTCTCCACCCGATCTTTCCATCGCAGTGGGGGCCTACCTCTTCCTCTGCTACCACCATCGGGTTCCGAGTTGAATACTTTCAGAGCTGGAGCGTCGGTGTCCATT